CGAACTCACAGAGATCCACCTGCTTCTGCCTCCCGAGTGCTGGGATCAAGGGAGTGCACCACTACCGCCCAGCTATTATTAATCTCTTAAAAAAAAAAAAAGTTTGGTTACAGACTTTGATAATCCCCCATGGAAAGCCTCACCTTCCTTGGGGAGAGGGTTGGGGGTGGTTTTGGGGGATTGGTAGGGGGCATGGGAGGATGGGAGGGAGAAGGGGGGATTGATATGTAAAATGATTGTTTCTAACTTAAAAAAAGATTTGTTTTAAGTATGTGTCAGTGTTTTGCCTTTGTGTATGTATGTGCACCTGTGTGGTTGGTGCCAGTGGGGTTCAGACAGCACCTGACTCTGGAACTGGAGTTACAGGTGTCTGTAAGCCACCAAGTGGGCAGATATGGTGGTACAGGCCTGTAATCCCAGCAGTCAGGTGACCATCAAGGGTTCTACATATTAAAATTCTATGTCAGGTAGAGTTACACAGCAAGATCCTGTCACAAAACCAGCAGAGACAAAAAACAAACAAACAAAAAACAAACAAACAAAAAACCCGTGCGGTTGCATGCTCCTTTCAGGAAGCATTCTTTCTTCCCAGACCTCATCATTACCTGACAATTGCTCCTCTGTTCCATCCTTTCTGAGCCCAGTTGCCAGAGAAACTGGCCTGGCTCATCTTCATGACTTCCTCCGCTAATGACATGCAGAGATTGACACACACATAGAGTGACACACCATTGGATGACACAAGGTACCCAGAGCGACAGAATGACACATACATGCACATAGTTAATCTCACACACACACACACACACACACACACACACACACACTCACCCACCCACCTGCAAACACAATCCCAGACGCTCCATTCTTGAGTCAGGCTTCTGGGCCTCTTTTGTCATAGCTCCCACCTCCTTCCTGATAGCTGCTTTTAATGGTGACTGTAGCATAATGACTTCATGATCTCCCTGTTCTGAGCCAAATTACAAAATCATTTGGAAAGGGCTCAAAACGTCCTTCTTTAGAAGATCCTGGATACACCAATGCACAGGAGCGTGCACCTTCAGAACTAATGTGTATTTCCTCTAGACCTCACATTGTGACACACAGATGCTTGCACGCTCCTAGCCCACATAATGCAACCTACTGCATGGTTATAAGTTTCTCTCTACCACCAGCTCAGTTTGGTCAGCCTACCCCTACACCCCACGCCCGGGAATCCCTGACCACAGCTCCACCCATGCTCTGTCTCTCTCTTTTCCTTCTCTGTCCGCTGCCACCGTCGGGGTTCCTGGGCGAGGAAGCATCTCTGCAGAGTCACTGCCCAGAACCACAGATTTCATCCCGCCATTCAGAACAAGGAAGAAAAGGGACCACAGCGCAGGGAGGCGGTGTGAGGGGGGGGGGGAAACGACAGGGTGACATCGAGGGGACAGCCCCACCGCGCGCGTGGGGAGGCAATTCAGGCTGCAGACAGGTTGTCCCTAAGCACTTTGTCTCCGCGCCCCCTGGCGGATGCTGGTCCCCGACGGGCTCAGGACTCGAAGAGTGAGGCCGGCGCGCGTGGGAGGCAATCCCAAGGGGAGGGGTCGGCGGCCAGTACAGACCTGGAGGCGGGGGCCACCAGGCAGGGGGCGGGGGTGAGCCCCTGTCAGCTTTTTGCTCAGACCGTCTAGAGCCACAGCCCTGCTCGCTAGCTACTCATTGTCTGTGGCCCTGACCGGTGCGTCCTGGTGCCATAGTGCGGCCCGGAGGGGCAGTCTCTTCTCGCCCTTGCAGCCAGAGCCGCAACTATAAGAGGCGGTGCCTCCCGCAGTGGCTGCTGCAGCCCAATAGCCAGGGCAGCAAACCATGCTGCCTGCGGCCCGCCTCCTGAGTTACTAGAGCCAGCCTGCGAACTCTCACCACTGCCCTCACCGCTGCGTCCAGTCCCACCGTCGCGGGCAGCAACCAAAGCCGCCAGGAAGAACTGCAGCACAGAACCAGCAAGGCCAGGCAGGCCATGGGGCTGTGGGTGCTGCTGCCCAGCTGGGTTTCTGCTACGTTGCTACTGGCACTGACTGCCCTGCCCGCAGCCCTGGCCGCCAACAGCAGTGGCCGATGGTGGTAAGTGAGCTAGTATGGGGTCGCCACTTGTCCTGGGGCACAGAGCCAGGAACCGGCCCTATCCAGCTCCCACGCTGCGGGCATCACCAACCCACAGACTCCCTCCTGCACTATGACTTCACCACATCCAGGGTGCTCTCATCTAAAACTAACCCAAAGACCAGCTCAGCTGAAGTGGGGAGAATCATTTGCAGGCAGAAGCCCAGGTACACCAGGCTCAGAGCCCACCCCCATCTGATAGAACCCTTCCCCACGGAGCTCCAGGTCCAGCCTTACTTTGGTGGGTACTCAGGTGTCCCTGGGGTCTTGAGCCAAAGTACCAGTCATTGGCTTGGAAAAAAGGCGAGAAAAAGATTGGATTTCTCAACATTTCAAGGTGGGCAAGGCTGCAGGTTAGGATCCCTCTCCGGAGCCGTCTTGAGGGAAGATGAAGAGCTAAGAAAGGCATGAAGGGACTCATAGTGCCTTCTCTGCCCACTAGGGCTCCTGGGGCTCAGTTCTACCAAACTCAAGAGCTGGGGAGCTATTATTGATCCTCTGCTGATCTCTCTAAGGCACATAGATCCGGGCAAGAACAGGGTTGGTACAGCCCGCATGGTTAATGTGTAGGCTCCCTTCCCCAGACTGAGCCCTTATGCGTCCCACCAGGGGCATCGTGAACATAGCCTCCTCCACAAACCTGCTAACGGATTCCAAGAGTCTACAGCTGGTACTAGAGCCCAGTCTGCAGCTACTGAGCCGCAAGCAGCGGCGACTGATCCGACAGAACCCGGGAATCCTGCACAGCGTGAGTGGAGGGCTGCAGAGCGCAGTGCGAGAGTGCAAGTGGCAATTCCGAAACCGCCGCTGGAACTGCCCTACCGCTCCCGGGCCCCACCTCTTCGGCAAGATCGTCAACCGAGGTGGGTGCCCAGGAAAGCGACGCTTCCGGGATTAAGGGAAAAGCAGGGTCAGCTCTAGGGCATGGGCGGGCGAATGCAGGGAAGATGTCTCAGATGTCACAGGGTTCCGCGATCAAAACCTGCGCTAACATAGGTCAGACTTCGGCTCCAGGTTCTTTCAAGCCATGCATTTTGGGCGTGATCTTTAATTTTTCTGAGCCACTGACCTACAGAAAGGGAATTCTGGATCATGGGCGCTGAACGACAGTTGCGCTTCTGCAGCCTCCCTCAAAGGTGCCTTGGGAACCTGATCGCAGAGGGCCGGGGTTGTGCTCCTCACTCAGCAAAGTTTGCACAGCTAACACGGACCGAGAGTTTGGTTTGGTGGAGATCTTGGCTATACAGAGTTGATTTACTTGGGATATCCTCTTTGGAGCTGTCCCACTTACGTTCTAGACTGTAGTCTCAGAAAAGCAAGGTGAGGAGTGCGTTCATGCATTCACTCACGCGCACCTGCTTACTCTATGAGACCTGGAGACCAGCTTTTCAGCACTTAGGCCTGTCAGGACTCCAAGGGTCGAGTCCCGGTGGTGGATTGTAGGGTACCAAACCTTCCAAAGAGGGAGGTGCTGACCCGGCCCCACGTGTTCTCTCAACTGGTACGGGGTTACTTTATCCACAGGCTGCCGGGAAACAGCATTTATCTTCGCAATCACCTCCGCTGGGGTCACACATTCGGTGGCACGTTCCTGCTCCGAAGGTTCCATTGAGTCTTGCACCTGTGACTACCGGCGGCGCGGCCCTGGGGGACCCGACTGGCACTGGGGAGGCTGCAGCGACAACATCGATTTCGGCCGCCTCTTCGGCCGAGAATTCGTGGACTCTGGGGAAAAGGGGCGGGACCTGCGCTTCCTCATGAACCTTCACAACAACGAGGCAGGGCGCACGGTAAGTTGGTAGTTGGTATGTCCGGCTGTGCGGCTGTGCTGTGCGCTATGCGCTGGAGCCAGTTGCAGGAGCGGGGGTGAGGTGGGGAAACGGTCCAGGATAAGGTCAGAGGCACACGGAGAGGGCTTCCTGAGGAAGTGGGAGTCTAGGAGGAAAAACAGGAGAGGGCAAAGAGATCCCTGATCTGATGACAGACTGGTTTAGGTTAAAAAGCTAAGCAACACATACGATGTATTGCTATGGTTGCATTGCACACTTTTGAAAAGTAAAACTGACTTGCTAGTGTGGAGCAGAGTCTGGTGTAGTGACCACATTTCAGCAGGCCATTTCTCACTTCCCCTCCCCTGGGCTTGGTTACTCCAGGACCTTGGCTTGGTTTCCACAGCATCCACACGATGGGGGTGGGGTGGGGTGGAATGGTGGTGGTATGTGGATGTTGGCTTTGACCCGTTCCTTCCCTCCTTTCCTCCTTCCCTCCTCCCCCAGACCGTGTTCTCTGAGATGCGCCAGGAGTGCAAATGCCACGGAATGTCCGGCTCCTGCACAGTGCGCACGTGTTGGATGCGACTGCCCACGCTGCGCGCTGTGGGCGACGTGCTGCGCGACCGCTTCGACGGCGCCTCCCGCGTCCTTTACGGCAACCGGGGCAACAACCGCGCTTCGCGGGCGGAGCTGCTGCGCCTAGAGCCGGAAGACCCCGCGCACAAGCCACCCTCCCCTCAGGACCTTGTCTACTTCGAGAAATCGCCCAACTTCTGCACATACAGCGGACGCCTGGGAACAGCCGGCACAGCCGGGCGTGCTTGCAACAGCTCTTCTCCCGCGCTGGACGGCTGTGAGCTGCTGTGCTGTGGCCGGGGCCACCGTACGCGCACGCAGCGCGTCACGGAGCGTTGCAACTGCACCTTCCACTGGTGCTGCCACGTCAGCTGCCGCAACTGCACGCACACGCGCGTACTGCACGAGTGTCTGTGAGGCGCTGCTCCTGCCCCCGGGAACTCCTTCCTTTCCAGCTCTCCCCTGAAAAACTCGCTGGCACTCAAAGCCCACCCTAGCACCTCCAGTCACAATCCCGAGGTTCATAGCAACCCATCTGTTCCCACCTCCTACCTGGGGGCTCCTTAAACCACTTGTCTGAGACGAAACCTATTGCCATCCTGAGGGCCCTGCCCCAACCTACCTCCCTCCCTCTTTGTGGGAGACCCCTTGTTGCACTGCCCCCTACGTGGCCAGGGGATGAGAGAAGGGTTCCTCTTCTTCTGGGGGTGGAGGGGGTCAGCTATGAGGTGTTGTAGTCCTTGCTGTATGTGTCAGTGACTTCTCTATCTCATTCCCCCTTTTCTTCCATTCACTCCGAGTCCCCACAGGCCCCTTCCATTCTCACCAACACACCTGAGGCCTTTTCCCTCCCACCCTTAGCTGAAGTCAGAGGTTCCAAGGTGAAAGGGCAGCTGTGATGATGTGGGAAATGAGGTTAGGAACCGCCCCCCCGCAGAAAAACCTCCATTCTGATATGGAGCCACTGAACAGCTGTGAACCATGCCTCCCTCAGCCACCACCCACCCCTTCCTGTTCTGCCTCCTCATCAGTGTGTAAATAATTTGCACTGAAACGTGGATTCAAAGCCACGAGTTTGGTTATGTAAATAAAACTATTTATTATGCTGGGTTCCAGCCTGGCTTACAGAAACCACCTTCACCCTTATTCCTCTGTTCTGCCCTCAGCCCTGTTGTTTCCCAACCTTTTTTCTTCTACTCGGTTTCTCAAGGATGCCCTTGCCCACTGGGTCAGTATTTCCTTCCACTGTAACTATTAGTGGTTCTTCGCCCCCACCAATGTATCTTTCTCTGAAGAATAAAATTGCTATTTTTAATCAATGACTCCGATCCTTGAATCCAGAGCACAGCATGGTTTACAGTGCCCTCTTCCCCTCCAGGATACTTACTTTTCTTAACCAAATACATTGTTGAAGAGATATATTGTTGAAGAACTCTTTTCCCCAGCCCTGAAAGACAACCCTGAGATTCTGACCCTTGGATGACCCTAACTGGGGCCACTAGGGATCCAGGTCTCCTGAGAGAGATACTTGCCCAGGAGCCAATATAGGGCTCTTGCCCTATTCTAATAGCAGTTGGTTTTGTGATGAGGACTTGATGGGGACTGAACAGACCAACAGTCTACTTCTCCTACCTGAAAGAGTTGGGAAAATAGCTACAATGAAATGATGGTTGTGGCCATGTCCTAAAAAAAAGAAAAGAAAGGCCCAAGCAGAAAGGATGTTCCTGAGGCAGATGTCCTCTTTTCTGGGCTCTGGGCATATCTCCCACACACTTGTATAAGACTTATGAGTGCCGGGCATTGGTGGCCCACACCTTTAATCCCAGCACTCTGGAGGCAGAGGCAGGTGGATCTCTGTGAGTTTGAGGCCAGCTTGGTCTCCAGAGCGAGTGCCAGAATAGGCTCCAAAGCTACACAGAGAAACCCTGTCTTGAAAAAAAAAAAAAAAAAAAAGACTTATGAGCACTCCAACTCTAGCCCTGAGGTAAGGAGAGATCCAGGTATCAAGTCATGGGTCCTAGACCTGGGACAGAAAACTTACAGACACTAGCAGGAAAGAAAAAAAGGAGCAGAAAGAAGGCTTTAGCATCCAAACAGGAGTGAGCCTTAGTAGCACAACCAAAAAGAAATCCAAGAATGATTGGTTCTCAACCAAATCATTAAGCTACCACCTCCCACAAAGAATCAGAATGAGAGAGAATTCCTTTATTAACAGTACCTGAAAGACACCTCTGCTCACACAGTCACAAGTCAGTAGGACAGAAAGCCTGCTCACACTACTCAACCTGACTCTGATCCTATCTTCCTGCCTTCTTTGTCAAACCATAACCTTAGTCCTGCCTAAGGGAACATTAATCCTTCCTAAACTCTATTGCCTGTTTTTCACCATAGTCCCTTCCCTACAAAAGATGACCAGAAAGATAGCAATGGAAGCTACCAGAACACACTCATCTTTGCAAAAGCAATAACTGGTCTCAACCAATTTGAGAGTTTCTTTCTCTTCCCAGAATCCTTTGCTGTCTTTGCAGGCTACCATCACTCCCTGGAGGGTGTGAACTATGACCCCAAATTGGTTCTGAGCTCTGCCTATGCGTAAGGAAGTAGATTCAAGGCCTGCTCAACCCTGCAGTGACATTCCTTTCCCTTTCTTTCCATTGGTAAAGCCAGCACCATCTCAGTTCTGAAGAGTGGATCCAACTTTGAATAGCAGGCATCTAAAAGGCCCTGGGTTTCCAGTGAAGGTCTTCCAGCAGAGAAGAGTCAAACCCAAGGGGAACTATTAGCTCCCCAATTATCCCTAAGTAAGAAGCTATTGGGCTGTCCCAGGGTGTGTGTGTATGCATACATGCATTTGTGTGTGTGTGTGTGTGTGTGTGTGTGTGTGTGTGTGTGTAAGCTTGGGCCAGGCCATCTCCAACCACCCCCATCTAATTCCTAACTCCAGGAATTGGAGTTTGTGGACCTGAAAACTGGGGTGCTGAGCTGAGCTGACTTGCAGTAATTGGAAGAAAAGCTTCCCCCCCCTTTTCCCTCTCTCTGTGAATTCTTAAATAGGTATTCAGCATATTTCTGATCTTCTCAGTCTCCATTGGCTTGACTATTAATTGGGAATAGTCATCACTGTCCTTTTAAGCAGGTGATAAGGTTTAAATGAGACAGTGTTTGTGATGGCTTGGGTTGTGTGGACAATTACTGATACCTTTTCTGTATCAGCCATATGTCAAATGCTGGCAGTATGGTGATGTACAAGCCAGGGATCCAGCCAGGGAATCAACTATACCAACAAACACTGTCAGCATTGTGTGTGTGTGTGTGTGTGTGTGAGAGAGAGAGAGAGAGAGAGAGAGAGAGAGAGAGAGAGAGAGAGTTACAGGGAAAGGCCCTCTGAATGTACAAGGAATCTGAGGACAGAGTCCAGTACCCCAGCCTTCAGCACAGCAAACAGCCTTCTCATACAGGGGCTGGAATTTGGAAAAATGCCGCCCTAGTAAAATACAGATTAAGGCTGGGTCCTAACAGAATGCACAAAATAAAATGAAAAGCTTCAACTAAAAGGGCTGGAAGTATAACTTGACAGTAGAGCATGTGTGAGGACCTGGGCTTGATCCCAGCACTTGGTGGAGGTGGGGGTAAAGGGGCTGTGGGATCTAGAAGCATAGCCTAGAAGCTGAGTGTTATCTGTGTTGTCTGTGCTGCTCCCACTCTGAACTGGTGAGGGCAAGCCTAGAAAGAATCTCATGGCCCAAACCCTGAGGGAATGTGCCTGAGGAACCTTCCTGCAACCTCCACCCTCTTCTGATCTTCAGGTACCACACAAACACACACCAGGGGGATCTGGGGCTGGCAAGAAGGACCCTGGATAAAAGCTGACCTCAGTAAGTATGCAGGGACTAGTCCTGAAATATCCCAGGGGTGGTGGAAAAGCTGAGAAGACCGAGACAGCAGGCTGAACAGTCCCTGGGGGGTCAGCAAGCCAACTCCATGAACACCCAGCCACTAGCACCTTGGAAAAACCCTGTCAGTGGGGCTGCAAATACCCTAGGGTCCAGCCCCCTTCCCTATGGCCCCAGGCAGGCTCAGTCCTCTCCTCCGGGCCCAAGGGAGAAAAATAACAAAATGAGGAGAAAATAAGCTGTTTGGCTGTGGTGTGAGCAGGAATATCCATGCAGAGCTGCCCACCACTCACCCTCACTCACTTTTTCCACACCCAGCCAGGGCCCTGCATGAGACAGACCACCCCCTTGCCCCCTCCCCCGTCTGGGCTAAAAGCAGACACACTGGGTTGGTGAGAGAGCAGCAGGTTATAAATATGCCCAGGGAACTGCCGCCAACTCGCTCCCCTGTCATCCCCTGGGAGGGGGTGGGGTGGGGTGGCACCTAGGGAGGAGCCAGGGCTGCCCTATTCCCTGAGGCCAGGGAGGAAATGGGACATCCGAGCAACCACTGCAATATCTATCTATCTATCTATCTATCTATCTATCTATCTATCTATCTATCTATCCCTTTCCCAGGTGAATGCACCACTGACACTACAGGTACATTTGGACATTTTTTATCTCACACACGGGGTTCTCCACCTTCCCTGCTATTGTGGCCATAAGTCGAGCATGAAAAGGCTCAGCAGGGGGCACCTAGAGTCACACGGTGCAACCCTAGGGCTGTTTCTTTTCCTTACACCCTTAAGAAAATAGCTCAATCATTCATTCATTCATAGTTTAGTCATTCATTCATTCACTCACTCAGCAGGCATTTCCCGAGGTGTGCACATACAACTGCTTTCACAAGTGCACACACATTCTATTCCCGTGTGCTCGAAACAGCTCCAGCCTCGCCTGAATCCGGGGTTCTCTGCCTTTGACTTGGTGGCCTTTTAGGGGAGGTGAGGTTGGCTATCTAGCATAAACACTGTCTCAGAGTTGGTCACATGAGGAGCTGGGGAAAAAGGGCTGAGAATAAGACCCCTCAATGTGTTGCCTCCTTTACTTTTCCTGCTAGATAAGATTTTTCTCTTCCCATTTATCTTCTCCATGACTGCAGTATGCCAGCACGCAGGACGGGAGAGCCGTTCTGAGGATGCTGAGGGCACCGACACAGACACTTGCTCACTTGGTAAGTAGGTGCCCATCTAGGCAAGAAGGGCAGCCCTCCTCTTCCACGACTGAACCCCTCCCTTCTCCCTCCTCCCTATTAATCCTCGGAAGTGAAGGGGCCGTCCCTGGCGGCCCTTCAGCCCTATTGTGGCCCCTCGCCCTCCTCGGCTGGCGTCTAATTAACTCCTCCTGCCCCTGGTTTTGTGTGCCCCCCTTACTCCACCTTGTCGGCCCCGCCCCTCCGCTCGGCCCGCTCCCCCCGACGGACATTCCTGTCAGGCCGGGCCAGTGTGCCAGGGCAACCAGGGCCAGACCGAGGCCTAATCC